TGTGTAAGCAATACACAACTCACGAGTCATCACTCACCACTGGGACACACTTGCAGCTTGTTGTGAGTGGTGAGTTTATGCTCACTCAGTCCAGGGCGTATGCCTATAAAATCCATGCCTCGAAATGGTACATTCATATCGAAACAGACGAGCTACAGACATGCCAAGGTCATCAAGGGAAAACAGAGAAAGAGCTGTCGGACGACTGGCGGCCGGTTAGTCGAACAGGTGTGCCAGGTTTTTGGTGTCCACTCAAGCACCATTCATCACCTTCGGAACCGATTACAAGCGACAGCGACCACAGCAGATCGACCAAGAAACGGAACACCTAGGGTGACAACTCCGCCCCATGTTCGTGTCATCTTTCGTCGGCACCGCTGAGACCCGTTTCTGTCGGCTGCAGGGACTGCCAGAACGACTGGAAGCCAACTTAGCCGCTGGACTGTGTCACGGAGGTTAGTGACTGCTGGTCTTCACTGCAGGTGTCCTTACCAGGGAGCTGTCCTAACACCAAGGCATCCACAGCAACGGCTAGAGTGGGCGCAGGCGCATATCAACTAGCGGAACGCACAGTGGAGGAGAGTCCTCTTCAGTGATGAAAACAGGTTCTGCGTGGCTCCAGCGAATGGCCGTGTCCGTGTGTGACGTAGAGACACGACTCGCTATGACGACAACAACATTCTGGAGCGTGACCCCTGGGGAGGCGAGAGCGTGATGATATAGGGAGCCATGGCTTTGAATCATAGAGTGGGACCTGTCATCTTCCAGAACATTGGTCCAGGACGTGGAAACGGTGTGGCGCCTTAACACTACATTGCACAAGTCTTGGCACCTCATGTGGTGCCCTTTCTACAGAGGCATCCTAACTTCCTGTATCAATAAGACAACGCACGACAACATACCGCACGTGCTACCCAGAACTTCTCGGCGCAGAACAATGTCAATTAATTGGCACACCCACCTCGCTCACCTGACTTGAACCCTATTGAACATTTGTGGGACGTCATCTAAAGACAGCTTAACCAGATACAGCCACGGCCTCGAACAGCAGCCCAGTTGACTGCAGCCTTCATCCTTATCTTGGGTGGCATCCAAAATGGCCATATCAACCGTTTGATTAACTCTATGAACAGAAGATGCCTCACTGTAATCGCTGCCCGTGGAGACCATACGCGTTACTAAGTTTGCTCACCAAGGTCAAGATATTACACATGAACAGTCATAAGCCTGTATGCATCCATAGTAATATAAAAGTATCAGCAATAATATTAGTATGGGAGGATGATGGATGGGAGCAACCAAAGATAGGCTGCTATTGTAACCTTGTCTAAAATGTGTACTTTTTTACGTTACACATTCAACTCTGTTCGTCACAAAATGAACAAATATGTTCTTTTCCTGCACTGGTGATGCAGGCAAGTTGGGGATCAGTTTCAGTGGCCACAAGTAAGTCTGATTGAATGTTGTCCAAAAATACTTTAGTAAAGGTTTTTGTTTCAGTTATCACTACTCTGCGTTGAAAGACAATTGACCAGGCTACAAAACAACAGCAAGTTCACTTTTTTATCTACAGTGAGTCCTAAAGTTGTCATAGTTGTTTTACTAATGTCCAAAAGTAGACTTACTTAAAACAGCAATAGAAGGAGCTGTAGTTTACGTGCAGTAAAAAGGTCTACTTTAGTTCTTTACTTTTACTTTACTTTACTTTACTTTTCCGATCCAGCGGCCATTTGGGTTCTAGCCCTTCGGTCTGTCGATATGGCAAAGAATTGACAGGTTTTAATCAGCTGTGCTTTGTCGCTGTATAGAGTGTTTCCGATGTCTGGGGAGGCAGGTAGGTAGGTGCTACGCAGGTCACAAAGTGCTGGGCAGTTAAAGAGGTGGTGTGGTACTGTTTCATCCTGGCAGTCGCACAACGGGCAGTCGGGTGGGGTATCCTTGCGGATCCTATTAAGGTAGGAATTTAGTGGTATGTGTTGTGTTCGCAGGCGAAATATTGTGACTTGTTCACTTAAGTTCTTAAAATCAATATCAACCAAAGTTCAATACCAACATAGAAAACACTACTTATATGGTATCAT